CCTTGCCCTCCCACCACTGTCTCCAGCCCAGAAAGAGGTTGCGAGGAGCGCCCTGAGTGTGAGGTGGCCTTGCTGATTCCTGGAGAGGCCAAGGTAACTTCTGTCCCTTCTTTCCCCAGGCTGAGAAGAAAGCCAAGGTGATTGCAGTAATGAACGCCGTGGAAGAAAACCAGGGGTCCGGCGAGTCCCAGAAGGTGGAGGAGGCCAGCCCCCCTGCAGTGCAGCAGCCCACTGACCCCGCGGCCCCCACTGTGGCCACCACCCCTGAGCCTGTGGGGGCTGACACAGGGGACAAGAACGCCACCAAAGCAGCCGATGACGAACCAGAGTACGAGGTGAGCGGCTGGCTTCTTCAGCTGCCTCGTCCAGCTTTGTCTTGGGTCCCTCCACTGCCAGCTCGCCCCATCCTGCTCTCCTCTCTCCACCTGATCCCAGGCCTCTTCGTCTCCCCAATTTGGCTCTGATTTGGTCCATTCAGATGGAGCTCCCTCCTGGCTGCCCTGACCCTCAGATGCCCAGGGCTGGGGTTGCCGTGGGGGGATGAGGGTGGCAGGGCCTTGTGACTGCTGTATAATGACTTCTGCTCCTTGGGGATCCAGGACGGCCGGGGCTTTGGCATTGGGGAGCTGGTGTGGGGGAAACTGCGGGGCTTCTCCTGGTGGCCAGGCCGCATTGTGTCTTGGTGGATGACGGGCCGGAGTCGAGCAGCTGAAGGCACCCGCTGGGTCATGTGGTTCGGAGACGGCAAGTTCTCAGTGGTGAGTTATGGGGTCTCGGTCCCAAGGCCTACGGTTTTGGCGGGGCATGGTCTGGAATTGGGTGGTAGAAGTGGGCTCTGCTTGCCCCCGCTCTGTGTGTGTGGGAATGGAAGCCCAGGAGATCGTGAGGTTGCACTGGTGCCTCGCAGCTAGGATGCCTGCTGAGTCTCTGCCTCCTGGGAACCCTTTCCCCGGAAGCCCCTCCCACTTGCCTTCAGGTCCTCTGCGTCATGCAGTTATTTATTGATGCATCTGGTCCTCTCAAGGACAGGGGCCGAGTTCTGATGCCTCCCACCCTTGCCTGTTGCCAGGCACGTGGTGGGGCTCGATGCGTGTGGGAGGAAAACGAGGGCCATGGTTGTCCCCCCAGGTGTGTGTGGAAAAGCTGATGCCGCTGAGCTCCTTCTGCAGCGCTTTCCACCAGGCCACCTACAACAAGCAGCCCATGTACCGCAAAGCCATCTACGAAGTGCTGCAGGTGAGCGCCCTCTGGGGATTCGGACCGCTAGTTGGCCTAGAAGCCGAGATGCAGATGTCAGGCCTGGGCAGAGGGTCCGCCTGCCAGGCCTGTGGAC